ACGTCGAGAGACGTTCGAGTGTTTGCCGTGATGAGCTTTGCAGCACCCAAGGTCTTGAGAGAACAGATTAAACCCGAATATAATTTGTTTTATTCAGATTAGTGTTTGAGGTAATATAACAAATAATTTTGTTAAGAAGTATTTCATCATCCTTTCCTTTATGGTTTTTTGCTACACTGCTTCCTCTATCCTTTTTACCATAATCCTATGCCATTAACCCCGCCATATGTCCTAATTTACAAATTAAAATATAAATAAATGAATACAATAAGTATATTTTGGCTACACAGTTTCATATATTTCCGTCTGATTATGCGGACCGATAAGAACAATCTTATTTAAACTATTACAAAAGAGATCATTTACAAAGAAAAACACGAGGAAGTAAATTTTTTACCAATAGATTTCAAAAGCGTGGCAACTATGAAAAATAGCCTCTTATGAGGTAATGTATAGGGGAGGCCTATGTTCAGCAGTGGACTTTAATAAGCTGTTACGGGAATTTAAAAAGTTTAAGCTGAATTTTATAAATGGGTTCCATTTTTATATAGGGTATTTGCCTTTAAAAACCCGCTAACGTATTTAGTGATAATAGTTCAAGAGTTGTAACTGTTTCCCCTGATCCCCTTTGATAGTTCAAGAGGTGTAACACTTTAGGCACTGATCCCCCTTGATAACAGTATTGAATTTTTTATTATTATTTAAAGTGGTTACCACGTTAGCCACAAGATAATATGTTATATAATTAAAATACAATTCTTAAAATAACTAAAATTCAATGAATTAATGAGATTCATAATAGGTAGATTTACTTAATTACAACTTCACATACAAATAAATTATATTTATTATAATAATATAATTATGACATAAATTAATAATAACTTATTACATAATATTTCAAAATATTATAGAACCTTAAGACGAGGCATGAGCCTAAACGTAAGTTTTATAATGCCTCAAAGTATATGATCCACTGCAGTAAACAAACCCAGAAAAATATATGATATTGTCCAGGATATATGCTAGTTAGATAGTGTGTTGAAAACATGATACCACTAATTTAATACGATAGAAAAAAATCACAAACATACCTCTAAAAATTTCTTTTAACTAGTAAAAACCATACTAGTATACATGCAATCATTCTGATTTTTTTGTCAGATTTTTATGCATTCAACATATTAACGTTATAGTATTCTGGTATTTGAAAAGGACGAAGAGAAAACGAAATGTGAAATATGGGTAAATCAGGAATGTCTAGAACAGGTAAATGAAATTGTATACTTGGGGAGTGCTTTCAGCCGGGATGGAAGATGTGATTTAGATGTGGATAGGCGTGTCGCTGCCGGAAACAAAGTCAATGGTGCCCTGAATGCATTAGTAAAAAGGCAAGGCGTGGTGAAGAGTGCACGCCTTGCAATACATAACGCAGTGTTGGTACCGACTTTGTTATATGGCAGCGAAACCTGGGTATGCCAGAAGAAGCATAAAAGCAAGTTGAATGCAGTGGAGATGCGATCTCTTCGTAAAATGTTTGGCGTTACCATAGCCGACCGAAAGCGAAACGAAGAGATTCGCAATATGGCAGGATTGAAAGATGACCTTATCACAAAAAATGATAGGGGCGTACTTCAATGGTTTGGGCACGTTGAACGAATGAGTGAAGACCGAATGGTGAAGAAAATATATAGAGCGAAAGTAAATATTAAAAGGTGTCGAGGTAGACCGAGACTAACTTTCGAAGACCATGTGAGCAAATTGCTCGAAGAGGGGAGGGTCAAGAGTACTAGGATACCTAGACGTGCATGTATGAAGAAGTTAATGAACCTGAAAGAAGCGAAAGAGGTATGTAAGGATCGTGACACTTGGCGATCTGTTCTCTCTGGCTACCCCGTTAGGGATTGTGCGTGAAGATAAGTAAGTAAGTAACGTTATAGTGTTTTAATTTTTTAATCCAACTAATAGTTTTTTTTTAAATCGCATATTCTTATTTCTGAAATAATACGTACGGATGTTTGCGTAAAATGCCTGTGCAGTCACTGTCGGCCGAGGCCTGGTGCTGTATAGACGTGTCGCTATTTTTGCCGCAGTATTTACGTTAAGATTTTTTAAGGACGCCTTTACAAAATTGAAATAGGTATAGAATCGAACATTGACATTGACATGAGTCACGCACACAAGTGTACGAACGGTTGGCTGCGGGAATCGTAGTCAAATAAAATTATTTTGATAATTTGAAAGATCGAATTTGTTTTTGATTTCTTATACCTCAAAAATATACTAAGATATATAGAGTAATAATTAGACTCAGATACGAAATACGTATACCTTACTCTAGAGACTGCTTGGCACTGGGAGGGTTTTGTCAGTTATGATAAGACCCTACCTCCGGACTTGATGGAGTGACCTGAAGGTGAACTTCAGTAACTAATACTGGAACACCTGGACTAGTAGAATTAGGTGTGCCGAGTTTGAGCTCGTTTTGTTAGGTATGATGAGTCCTTACCTCCGGACTTGACGGAGTGACCTGAAGGTGTACTTTAGTAATCGCTATTGGAACTGGTCGCCGAGTACTACTAGATGTGCCGAGTTTGGGCTCGTTTTGTTAGGTAGGATGAGTCCTTACCTCCGGACCTGATGGAGTAACCTGAACCTCTAAAAATTTATTTTAATAAGTAAAAACCATAGTAATATACATGCAATCATTCCGATTTTTGTCAGATTATTATACATTCAACATGTAACGTTATATTGTTTTAATTTTTTAGTCTTTTTTTTCTAAATGGCATATTCTTATTTATGAAATAATACGTATGGCTGTGTGCATGAATGCCTGTGCCAGGCACTGTTGGCCGCGGCCTGTTGCTCTTTAGACGTCTCGCTCTTTTTGCCGAAGTATTCGTATTTGTATAATTTTATTTTTAAATTCATCGTTATATAAATATTTTTCTTTCGATAAATTAATATTCTTCTTTCGTGTGAATATAAAATATTTTTAGTTCAAATATCGTAGTAAGGTATATTTTCATTTGTACATAATGGGAAATAAAGTGAAACCCGTTACGAAAAGTAAAAAACGTTCATATAAATCAAAAGCCCAAAATATGAACGATATTAAAAGGTAAGAACATATTATTATTACTAAATATTCATTTTATAGCAATAAACATATGAATTTCAGAAACGTAGTTTATTACAGTAGTGTATTTGGTAGAGGTACCTATGGTTTTCTTTTTGCATTCGACAGTGCCCGGATTAGATTTCTGGAATATGAAGTCAAATTTTCTTTTTTGTCTTTTATATAGGTAGTTAGTATTATAAATTTATTAAATAATTTTGTAATAAATTTATAAATTAAATATTCTCCTTTCTATAAATATTTTTTATTCCATAAATATTCTTCTTTCGTTGCAGTCAAATTTTCTTTTTGGTCTTTTATAAATTTAGTATTATATATTTATATGAATTTATTAATGAATTGATATGTAATTATTTTTTACAGGATAAAGGAATTTGAAAATAAAAACATGGAAGTTATTTTCAATGCGTAAGTATCGCAGTGTAAAAATAAAAAAAAATAAAAATACCTAATGTTTTTGTTAAAAGACAGAATAACAGAACAGAACCATCTTTTCTTTTGATTTTGCTTATAATAAATAGGAATTATAATTATGTATGAATGTTAGGTCTTTTACTTGTATCATTGTTTTAGGAAAAACCAGCAAGAATGCACAGTATTGATATCAGTGGCTCTAACTGTTTCTGATAACACTCGGTAAGTAATAAGTTTGAGATATTATTCGATTCGTCATTACTAAGTGTCACACATTACGATTGTTTTTACATATATTTCTTTTTAGGGTTCCGTACCTCAAAAGAAAAAAGGAACTCAAAATATGGATTATATATACAAGAATTTATAGTATCACTATGTAGTCCGTCTGTCTGTCTGTCCGTTTGTCTGTCTGTCTACGGGGTACCTCCCGTTGACCTAGAATCATGAAATTTGGTGAGAAATCTGAAAATTAACTTATTTTAGCTATTTTTTCTTTTGTCTTAAAAGCAGTATATATGGATTAAAAAGGCTGCCTTGATGGTCTAGTGGTTATAGTAGTACGATTGCTGATCATGAGGTCCTGGGTTCGAATTCCTGGTCTGGCCAAAAAATCAATTTAGTATTAATTTATTATTAGTAGGGATTGACGGCAACTGTTTTATTTAATTCTAAAATATTTATTACATTATTTTTAAAATAGTCAAATCTTGTTCGTCTATTTTAGGACAATCAGCCAGTCGACACTTGCAATTGGTGACGCATCGATTCGAGATGTATCCGAACGTTTTATTTGTAGCGAGTGAGTATATTTTTAGTCAATTTATAGCAATTTGTTATCCTTTTGCCACAGAAAATATTTGTATTAAAAATGTGTTTTTTTTACAGAAATTTGGAATGACTCCTTATTTGATTGAACCAGAAAAAAATTAAAAAGTCACATCTATAAACGGAAGGAGAATGATAGATATTGTGTTCTTTTTTAACAAGTTAAAAGAAATTTCAAACCACAAAAGCCTATTTAATGTGGTATTCAGTGCTTGATGTTACTAGGAGAGAAAAGAATTGGACTTGCATCAAAATTCAAGTTAATGTGCGAAATGTGTGGTATGGTCTTTCATATCGATTCAGATGACCCAGCAACTGCTGAAAATGTCGATACGAATACAGGAGCTGTCGTAGGAATAATATCTACGGGAATAGCTTATTCTTAACCCGTACCCCAACATGACTGTGACAAAAATTGAATGCAGAAATCACATACTTCGTAATTTATGCAACAAATTACGAGCGGTATCTAAAGACATGAAATATTCCTTGAAATTTATAAAACTGTTGACCGACAGTAAAGTGATGACCGTAAGAAAAGTGGTCGTTTGCTCAATAAAAGAACAACGCAAATTACTAGAAAAAAAAACATAAAACAAAGGTGCAAGCAAAAGAAATGTTACATGCCGATATACAAACTTCACTATACCATGCATTCGGAGACCACAGACAGTGTAAAGATTATTTCTGTACAAAAGACAAGACATTGGAGAATGCAAAGGCCGTAGAAAGCTCAACATTTTGGTTCCGATTAAAAGTTATCATAGGAAATGTAGCATCTAAATCACAAAGCCTAGTAGAAGACGTAGACACCAACGCGACTGAACGTTTTAATAGCGTGATTGCTAAAATGGTTGGAGGGAAATGCACCAATTTTTGTCTAAGACGTGGTTATCAAGGACGATGTGCTGCAGCTGTTGTATCATTTAATAACAAGTTGCCGAGACACACGATTCAGAAGAAGTTGTTAGGCAAAAGCCCAAAAAGTATTTTAAAGAAGATGGAAATGAAAAGAAACAGAAAAAGACTATGGAATTGTAAAAAACCATTTAAGAAAAATAGAACAAATGTAAGAACAAAGAAAGAAAAAAAAATGACTATGGATCAAATAGCGCTGCCCCAGATATGGTACCCGATGAGTTAGAGAGGGCTAAAAAATATTTTCTTGAGAATTTGAATATCTTGACTATGAACAAACCGCAAATCGAACGAGATACGAAATTTCAGAGAGATTGCAGTGACTGGTTGGAACTGAAGAAACAAATGGTAACAGCGTCCAATTTTGGAAAAATTATTAAAAAGCGTCGGAACACATCCACAGCAAACCTTGTAAAAAATTTGTTGTATACAGAAAACATTGCCCATGTAGCAGCCGTAGCTCACGGTGTAGAAAATGAAAAATTGGCGCTGCAACAATTAGAAAAGCAGGTAAACGTCACAATCGAACCATGTGGTCAATTTGTCGATGATAAATATTCATTTATTGGTGCAGCGCCGGACGGGTTAGTAGGTGACGATACAATAGTAGAAGTCAAATGCCCAATAACAGCCTTCAAAATGGGGATAGAAGAGGCTATTAAAGCAAATAAAATTCATATGTATAAATTTAACAAACAAAATGAAACATATACAATAAACCGAAACAGCAACTGGTTTTACCAAGTACAAGGCCAGTTGCACGTCACTAATAGACAAAAATGTATATTTGTAATATGGGCTGGCCAAGAAAAAGATTTAAAAGTATCATACATAGAAAAAGAAGATATGTTTTGGAACGAAAAAATGGAGAAAAAAATAGTTGACTTTTATATGCACAGCATTCTCGGAAATAGTAGACCCGAGGCATTCACGCGGGATGGCGATACGAAATAGTCACGATATACATTCAAATGTACTAATGGTACTACCACCCTGTGATTCAGCTCCTACTCCGACACAGTTACGGCAAATTAAACCAAAAGTTTTAAATTACACTGAATTTTAAAAGATTTTATTTTTTATTTTTAGATTTCGTCCAAAAAGAAAGTAATGTGATATAAGTTTGACTTGTCTGTGAATCTATTTATTTTCATACCTATAGGTGGCACTCTAGCGCCTAATTAGCTAGACAGGGGATTTTAAATCTACTCCCGCTATAGATGATATAATAATAATAATAATTAAGGCGTAGGGAAGTGACGACCCCATCGCCCGCTGACGTAACGGTTATGTGACAAAACCGCTACGTCAGCGCAGTCAGTCAGCACCTTGCCAAGAGGTGTTAGTGCCGTGCCTCGGCAAAAATTGAAGGTGCAAAGGCCCGCTTGTGCACATGGCCTCACCAGAAACGGCGCCGGGTCTGGCGTTCCCGAAATGACGCCCACCACTATGGATGATGGAATACGGAAGAACGCGCAAAAGGCCGCTGCCTGGAGGTGGCCAGGGCGCGTCTGGAGCTGGCGCTGGACGCGGCAGCATGCGAACCGCCAGCCGAGCGCGAGGTGCTGCACGACCACCCAGCAGCCCCTCGCATCCATCATCTCCACCAGCTGGCTTGGTGTCGGCAGGGTCTTCGCGGGCCCAGCAATCGGCACCCGCCTCTGGTGGAGTACGCCGCATGCGTTGGACAACCCAGATGAACAGCAACGCATTGCGGGCGTATTTTGGGGCGAAAGGGGGAGAAACTGGATGTTTGGCGTATCGGGCTAGGATGCATCGTCTAAAACCTGGCAGACCGAGTTCGGTATATCTTGCGCTCAAATATATTTGATGTCGCCGAACTCGAACGGCTACGACGTGAGGCTGTTCCCTCGTCGGATGAGAATGCTACGGCTGAGGATGCGGCGCCACAAATGGTAGAGAAACCCGCAAACGTGGATGCCGCCGTGAATACCCCAGTTGTGGTTGATTCAAACGATGGTGGAACAGTCGCCCAGGAACTGGAATTAGAGCATATGAGGAGTACATTGGAAGAGGCGATTGTGGAAACGCGCAGTACGCCTCTCGAAAATCGACCGCGACTTCCCCGCATAGCCCTAAGCAAGCGGAATCGGGCTGTCGTGAGGGCTCTGAAACCAATGCTGGTGACCTATTTGGAAGCCAGCCGGGACCTTTTGCGAGACGGACTCAATTCTTTTTGGCGCCGCGCTGGCCGTCTGCCGTATCATAGGTGCCAAGGTTTCCACGGCTGGACGCGCTACTGGCCATAGTAGCGCTATCCCAGCATGGAGAAGAAGAATTGAGGAACGTATCGCAAAGGCTAGAGCTCTCATCGGCAGACTGATATGCTTCAGATCAGGCAACAACAGGCCAAGAATTGTGCGCACCGTCAGGATGGCGTTTGCTGGGACAAATGTCAGTTTGTCCCAGCCGGATATAACGCAAAAACTGACGGAGCGCATAGATGATCTGAAGCAGAGAATCGCTGCTTGGGGAAAACGGATTCGGCGATATACCGAGAGGTCGACACGGTTCAACCAGAATCGTCTCTTCCAGAGTGATCAGAAGAGGCTCTATGAATCATTGGAGCGACCAATGGTAAGTGGAACGGGTCCAGCACCGAATCAGGCCGACACTGTAGCATTCTGGTGCGGCCTGTGGTCAGAGCCCGTAAACCACAGCGAGAGCCCTTGGACGGAAGTTGTGGCGAGTCAGTGTGCGGGTATTACGCCCATGGACCCCGTCATCATAACGCCGGATTACGTAGCTGAGGCGGTCCGTAGGGCCCCGAACTGGAAAAGTCCGGGGCTTGACGGGCTGCATCACTACTGGCTGAAGGGGTTCATGGTGTGTCACTCTGTGCTTGCCCGACAGTTTCAAGAGGCTCTCAACCAGAAGTCGCTCCCAAGCCTCTACTGTCACTACTGGTATCACTCATTTGGTTCCTAAAGACCAGGGTACCACAGACCCGAGCAAATACCGCCCCATCACGTGTCTACCGACCATATACAAGACACTAACATCCATTTTTAGCGCGAGAATCACTTGTCACCTGGACTCAAATCGGGTGATGTCGCGCGCTCAAAATGGATGTCGGGGCGGTGGTCGTGGAACCAAGGAACCACTCCTCATTGACGCGGTCATTGGCAAAGTGGTGAAACGCAACCGTCGGAACTTCTCCGCCGCCTGGATATACTACAGAAAGGCATTCGACTCGGTGCCCCATACATGGCTAAAGAGAGTCCTCGAGCTGTACAAGATAGACTGTACAGTTAGAGACTTCCTTGAGCAGTGTATGGGGCAGTGGAGTACGATCCTTTGTCATCTGGGCGAGCGGATGATGGCTGCGGAGAACCACATATGGATAAGAAGTGGTATCTTCCAGGGCGATTGTCTGAGTCCAATCTGGTTCTGCCTCTCTCTGAACCCTCTCAGTACCTTACTGGAGGGCTCCGGGAGGGGATTTCAGCTACGGAGAGGAGGGACAAAAGTGACCCACCTTTTCTATATGGATGACCTCAAGTTATTCGCCTCCAGTCGCTCCCATCTTATGGAATTGCTAAACATCACTTGTGAATTTAGCAATTCCATTGGAATGGAGCTTGGGACGGATAAGTGTGCGGTCCTCCATGTTGAAAGGGGAAGGGTTGCTAACTCTGAGGGCGTAGACTTATCTATGCCCGTCAACTTAAGGACCCTTTCCGAGGCTGAAACATACCGATACCTGGGTATGTCACAAAACATCGGTATCGATGAGACTGGTATGAAACAGTCAGTTTGCGACGTGTTTTATGCACGCTTGACCAAAGTGCTTAACAGCCTTTTGTCCGGTGTGAATAAGGCACACGCATATAACGGCTGGGTCATGCCTGTCCTCATGTATACCTTTGGCATACTCAGGTGGACTCAGACTGAAATTAACGCCCTGGATAGAAAAGGCCGCACTACCATGACGTCCCATAGGATGCATCATCCGAGATCGTCGGAAATGAGGCTGTACTTGTCGCGGAAGCATGGTGGTCGTGGCTTCTTGAGCGCGCTCACCATGCATAATCGCGAAGTGTGCAGCCTCCGTGATTACTTCCTGGCGAGATCGGATGATCCATTCTATATGAACGTCATTTCTTGTGATAAAGGACTTACCTCTCTATCCTTAGCCAACGAGCAATGGCAAGACCCGGCAGTGCGGAGCATTTCCGATCGAGAGACCGTATGGAAGGAGAAGGAGCTCCACGGGAGGTTCTACAAGGCTCTACATGAGCCTTTCGTAGGCACAGTAGCCTCCCTCCACTGGCTACGCTTTGGTGATCTCTTCGGGGAAACCGAGGGTTTTGTCTGTGCAATACAGGATCAGGTTATTAAGACCAACAACTATCGGAGATACATCCTAAAGGATGGCACCGTCGACATCTGTCGAGCTTGTCGCCATCCCGGTGAGTCACTTAGGCATGTTATCTCCGGTTGTTCGGCGCTTTCTTACTCTGAGTACTTGCACAGGCACAACCTAGTAGCCAGAATTCTACACCAGGAGCTCGCTCTGAAATACGGTCTCGTGGACCGGAAATTGCCGTACTACAAGTACTTGCCGGAAGCCGTGCTCGAAAATGATCGCGCCAGGCTCTATTGGGACCGGGCCATCATCACAGACAGGACTATTCTTGCGAATAAGCCTGATATTGTGCTGATGGACCGGGCACAGTCAAGGATATTTTTGGTCGACATTACCATTCCGTATGACGAGAACCTCGTGAAAGCCGAAACAGACAAGCAAACAAAATATCTGGACCTGGCTCACGAGGTGACCGACATGTGGGGTGGTCTGCCGACCGAAATTATTCCTGTAGTCGTCTCTGCAAACGGGCTAATCCCAGTCAGCCTCTCGGGTCATCTGAGGCGGCTGGGACTACGTGGCGGACCGCTCCAGGTTCAAATGCAGAAGGCGGTGCTCCTCGATACCGCCCGCATCGTCCGCCGGTTTCTTTCCCTTTCCCCCTAAACCTCGGCCGTTTGGTCTCCCCTGCCGAGGGCCTCCATCTGGTTGGGCTCTTATTTATTTATGTACTTTTATATTTATTTTATGTTATTGATATTTATGTATATTTATTTTTTCATTTTCATTTATAATTATATATTTATAGAACCCAACCAGATGAGAAAACTATATAGATACACAATAATAATAATATATTTATTGAATCCAAACATACTTTACATAAGAAGAAATAATAATAATTTAGCCTATATAGTTTTAAAATCAGAATCCCGAGACTTTCAGCTCGAGTTACGTAACCGCTTTCAGTGCCTAGAAGATTGCAATGCAGTGATGCAGTTGACGATATGAATGACAAGCTCGTGGAAACTGTCCATGCGGTTGGAGCTAAGTTCTGCAAGACCCGCCACAGAATAACACAAAAACTCTCAGATCACACTCTTAATCTCATGGCTGTTAGACGGGAGACGAGGCTGCAATCGTCAACAGATTTGACAGCATACAGGCAACTGAACAGACAGATCTCCAAATGCATGCGGCGAGACTTACGCAACTTTAATACTGCTCGTATTAAAGAAGCGATCGAGCGGAACCAGGGCTCCAAAGTCTTTGCCAGAGTTCTGTCTGCCAGAAAGAGCCAACTGTCAAAGCTGAAGACTGAGTGTGGCAGCATCGTTTCCGAGACACCTGAGATTTTAAGTGAGATTGAGAGGTACTATGGGCAGCTGTACACATCATCGTTGGAGCCACACGCAAGTGTGAGTAACGATCCAAGAGCAAATCTTACCCGACACTATTCCGATGATATCCAGGACGTCAGTCTGAGCTAGATTAGAATGGCTCTCCAGCACCTTAAAAACGGCAGGGCCCCAGACGAGGATGGAATTACAGCGGAGCTTCTGAAAGCGGGTGGAACACCGGTACTTGAAGTCCTTCAGAAGCTCTTCAATTCCGTCCTCCATGGTGGCACTACTCCGGAGGCGTGGAGCAGAAGTGCGGTGGTCTTGTTCTTTAAGAAAGGCGACAACGCTCTCTTGAAGAACTACAGACCGATTTCCCTTCTGAGCCGCGTCTTCGTGCTGTTTTCGAGAGTCATTATGAATCGTCACGCACGCAGACTCGACGACTTCCAGCCTCCCGAACAAGCCGGTTTCCGAAAAGGCTTCAGTACCATAGACCACATACATACCCTGCGGCAGATTGTACAGAAGACCGAAGAGTACAATCTGCCACTTTGCCTGGCGTATGTGTACTATGAGAAAGCCTTTGATTCCGTCGAAATTTGGGCGGTGCTACAGTCTCTTCAGCGGTGTCAAGTTGACTGTCGGTATATCGAAGTGCTGAAGTGTTTGTACAGTAGGGCTACGATGACTATCCGAGTACAGAACCAGAGTTCGAAACCTATTCAACTGCAGAGAGGTGTAAGATAGGGTGACGTTATATCCCCGAAACTCTTCATCGCTGCGTTGGAAGACGTTTTCAAGCTACTGGACTGGAAAGGATACGGTATTAACATCAATGGCGAGTACATCACTCACCTTCGATTTGCCGATGATATATTCCTTATGGCAGAATCCCTGGAGGACCTTAGCACTATGCTCAATGACCTGAATGGTGTCTCCCAACGGATAGGTCTTAAGATGAACATGGACAAAACAAAGATCATGTTTAATGTCCATGTCACACCTATGCCGGTAGTTGTTGGGAGCACTATGCTCGAAGTTGTTGACGAGTACGTTTACCTGGGACAAATAGTCCGACTAGGTAAGTCCAACTTCGACCGAGAGGTCAATCGACGGATTCAACTCGGCTGGGCAGCGTTCGGGAAATTACGACACATCTTCTCGTCGGGTATACCTCAATCTCTGAAAACTAAAGTGTACAACCAGTGCGTGTTGCCAGTGATGACTTACGGATCGGAGACGTGGTCCTTCACTGCTGGCCGTGTGAGGTACGCTCAAGGTTGCTCAGCGAGCTATGGAGAGGGCTATGCTCGGAGTTTCTCTGCGTGATAGACTCAGAAATGAGGATATCCGCAGTAAAACCAGAGTGACCGACATCGCCCAACGGATTAGTAAGCTGAAGTGGCAATGGGCCGGCCATATTGCTCGAAGAACCGATAACCGATGGGGAAGAAAGGTTCTCGAGTGGCAGCCTCGTACCGGTAGGCGTAGTGTAGGGCGACCCCCCACCAGATGGAGTGACGACCTGGTAAGACATGCAGGAAGTCGATGGATGCAGGTGGCTCAGGACCGTGCTTTGTGTTACTGCTTGGGGGAGGCCTATGTTCAGCAGTGGACTTGTGAAGGGCTGTAATGTTGATGATGATGAGTATTAAAATGGGCCAAGTGGGAGTCGGATTCGCCCTTGAAGGGTTCTGCACCATCATACAACATTTAATAATACTCTAACACTCTCTTTATTCAAAAATAAATTTTAAAAAATTTCCCTCATACATAGTACTAAATTTTATATGATGCTGCGGAACCCTTCACGTTTGAGTCCGACTCACACTTGACCGGTTTTTTCCATCACTTCGGCCGGTTATTTAAATAATATTATGTATGAGATTATGTTTATTGAATGTTGAATTGATGTGTAAATAAAATTTGAATTTCTATTGGTTTTATTTGAAACTATCCTTTTTCTGTTATTTTAGCTATTTTGTCAACGAAACTTTGGTTTTTCTAGAATTTGTGAGTTAGCGTTTGAAATGTTGCTTGCCTGCTTATATAATAAAACTGACTTTTAAAAAATTGATAATTAAAATGTATTCTGATGTCCAGACCTCGTAAACATTTTTGATATTAGTGAGAACGTACTCAAAATATTATTACTTTCTAGTATTATTGCAAACAGGAGACCTCACGGAAAAGTTTTTGCTTAGAGGTGAATTGTCTGCTTGCTTTGCGCATACTGTGAATTACTGTGTTCACGCTGCGCTCTCCGACTGTCGGTT